TCTGAATCATTATTATAGTCATTTTGAGAAGGAATAATGTCTATTAGAAGTTTTATGATTGACCTGAAATAGAAAAGCCACATATGCCAATCACTTTCTCTATAAATTGTTTCCCTAACCATGTAATTAAAATAAACAATGGAAATATAAACCTTGTAATTCCAGAGTTCATCCTCTAGGTCAGAGTCGTATTTTTTTATCAGGAATTCTTGTTGTGCTTCATCGTGTTTGAGAGATTTTATAGTTTCTTCCCCTACAGGATACCATACTTGATTTGCTGAAGCGGCTTTTGTGTGTCCAAGGATGGAAAATAGAATAGGGATTTCAACATTTGAATTTATTTCTAAAATTGATGACCGTGTATTATTCATTATTTTTAACTCCTGAACTAACAATTGATTCTTATTTTCAAATAAGTTCTGAATATAGAGTTTTACAAGCTCTTGGTTGGATGCCTCTTTTGATTCCATACCGCTAAAAGCAGTTGCAAATAGTTCGGGATATTTATTTGCAGCCTTCTTAACAAATGTTTCATTCTGTATTATATGGCCATAAACCCAAGCCGCAAATCGGATTCTTTTGGGTTTTACTAATTTGTCGTATTCTTTGTCATGTTCTGTTCTCTTTCGGAGAATTATATCAATGTTTTCCTTTTGTGGTAGATGTGAGATGCCCTGTAAATATTTTTTAATGTCATTAATATGATATTTACTAATGTAGTTTATTAGTAAATCAATTTCGTCTTCTTTTAAATAAGTTTCATAAAGCGAAATCAATTTTCTCAGGCGAGATGAAGAAAAATAACCAAATGAGAATTTAACAATCGGATAGAAGATAGTTGCCAATGCTAATATGTAAGCCCAGGTTGTACTCGGGATGCCTTTTTTAATTGTGAAAATAGATAAGCCAGGAAACCAGTTATCTTTAATCCAATCAAATGACATTAAGTAATGAATAACAAATAAAGCAGAGAATAGAATGCCTATTTCAATATTTGAAAAGAATAATAAAATAAATCTTCTTTCCTTGCTTGGAATAAAAGCCCATATGGCTAGAACTAAACCCAGTATTGTTAAAAAATCCGATGTCTGCATGGGTGTCAGTTAATTTTGTCGTCGATGTAGCGGAATGCCGCAATAGGGTTGCCGCCAACGGGTGGGGCTTGCTGCTGTGCTGGTATTCATTGCCACAGTCAGCTCGTCCTACAGCCCAATATTATTAATAAAGTTGAATTAACTACAAAAGCTAAATAGAATTCCGTCTGCCTGGTACTACCGCTGAAATACCACCAAAGTCCAAGGCTCATTCCGAAGCCAGCATAGCAGCAAACCTAATGTTGTGCGTT